AGAAACTTGCACTGACGGGCTACTGCAGACATTTATCAATGGCTGGAAACTTCGCTGGCTCAATACTGAGGATCAAATGGCCAGCCGGCCAGAAAGAATTAGCAGCAAGATACTCTGCAGTGGAACAAACCAACCAAGAGCTGATTGCTCAACAAATATGTAGGAGAAAAAGGAGTTGGATTGTTCACACTCTGAGGAGTCCGTCAAACGACATTACGTGGCAGCCCATTGCTCTAGTGGAATCCCAATGGGAAGCAACGAGTGGGTCGTCGGTGCGAGGACGACATGGAGGAGGTCGTGTGGTGAGGAGAAGATGTGAGATTATGGGAAAACGTGAACCAAACTGAAAAGGACCATAGATAATAGAGCGAAATGGAGAAGTGTTGTTGAAGCCCTCCCCCTAATATAACATGTACATATATGTGTTAACATGCTCCAACTAAACACGTGGTGTGGGTTCAATTCCCAGCTGGCACACTCTTGAATCACGCTTAGCCGGTAGTAATCCAGATAAGGAGAGAAGGTTAGACACGAGGCTAGCAAGATCATCCCTTCAAAAACAAACACCACCGTTAATGAAATTTCATAGCCCAACTCTGAAGCCCTATTTTCCATCCAGAATGCAAACGAAAAAAAAATTATGTATACATCATAAGCGGTGTAAGTTGTGTTACAGAATAGGATTACGGAGGTTCATTGCATACAACTGTAATCAACCTTTGGCATAAAACGTATCTTTTGGTTGGATACTAGTTAGTACCTAATATGTCTAGTCCTTTGTTTGATGCAGACTGATAAAATTCAGTCTGTCCCACAGAAGGTGAATCGCGAGCCCGAATAGCTAAGTGTTCACGTCTCTGACCACAGCACTGGTTGATGCAGGTTTGAATTTCAGGAGGGATATGAGTTCCTTCATGATGGGCAGATACGCCTTGCTAACTGGTGGATGCCAGCAGGTACGAAACCTAGGTCAAGTAAAGCTTTCTGCCGATTGCCTCCAACCATCCAATGTACAAATGTATCATTGACGATTATTTTAAATAGAAAAATTAAATGTTCAATAGAATATTTCAACTTTTTTTCAATTGTATTCATGTGTTTAAATTAATTAAAAGTGAACCGATCAGTAGTCACTTAACACAATTTCGCACTGACAAAGATTTTAGCGGGACAAAATTCAGTCTTAAACACTGTTATGCATTCGAAAGAACTAAAAGCATAGCTTTCACAAACATTTCACATTCTTGCCCTGAACATTAGTACACCAGTCTGGAATTCAAACGGTGACAAATGTCTCCCTCCTAACTATCAAAAATTAGTGTAAACTAAAAGACATTTTGGAGGCAAATGAAAGAAGCATTGACTTCATGGCGTTATACCCTATTCGTCTAGATTTATGACATCAATTCATCGACTGTAACACAAAGTATACCAAAATATTTTACAAAAAATAAACTCCAATAATTGCTTACACTTTCTTATATTGTTTGGAACAATAGAGACAGAGTTTATTGATCGGTGCAATGCACTGGTGTGACACTAACTTCATATAAGACCAGTAAGATCATTGCAAATAAAAATATGGGCTCATATAACACACATCTGAAATATCTCTACTGCTGAGAAAGTTAATTCAGTTTCTCACTTTGTATTACTGTATATTGAAAGCATATTACCTAATTTTTCTTATCAATTCTCTTACTTTTTCACCTATTCTCGAACTACTTACCAGTATCTAGAAATCACCAAAAATACCCATTGAGTCATGAAGAAAATAAAAGACAGAAATCAAATAAAAGTCTAGAAATCATTTACTACACCGTTCAAGTGTTGGTTTGCAGGGATTTGATTGGCTACAAAATTTTATCATAAGCTGACACCAGTTAGAGAACCATAGGAAAACCAGCAAGGAGTACGCGACAGCTGTTTCTTCCCACTAGTTTGGGACTCGTCAACAGTACTCACCCACCGCCAGGGTTCGAACCAAGGACCTTTCAGCTACAAGGCGAGCTCGTGAATAGTAGGGTACAGCAGATCGGGTGTGAAGACGAATAATCGCCAGTGACATTTGCTAGTGGTCGCGCTATATCGTGAATTGGCAAAAGTTGGAATTCATGAGCTGGCCAGTGGATCGGGTCCCAGTGGCTTAATGGTACACAAGCTAGTCTTATAACAAGACGATCTTGAGTTCGAACTCAAGTGGTGGGTGCGTACCGCTGAAGAGTCCCAAGCTAGGCAATTGGAACAGCTGTCCAGTACTCTCAGGTATTACATTGTTCACTGATTTTTAGTTTATAAAATGCTATTTGTAAGAAGGAGTACAGTGTCGTGAGACTGGGGCTATTACCATATTTCTGTCGTTTCCATAAGCACACTGACTATTAGTTAGAAGATGCAATGACTTCTGTCAGGAGATAATCGAGTGTAGACAATCCAATTCCACAGAATATTTAAGCTATGGGTTGATTGATGGCACCACCTTTGATTTTTTAATTACACAAGGCATGTTCAAAAGTATTGGGATAAAGATGAGTCCTTTCAAAAGCTGCAGATACACCAACAACTGGAAAATGCTAATCAAGAATTTTTCACTGAATAATTCTTTCTCAAACGTAACGGCTAATTAGTGTGCAACACCCAATTCTTATAGCTACGATTCATGACAGCATAACAAACTTGACTTAAATTACATCACTTACTATTTTTAGTAAATAATACGTGAGCAAAATCGAATTCTTACAACGATTCAGTTGGGAAAAAAATATCAGGGAAAACAAAAAATACTATCATCCAGTGATTAAATTTTTGTCTTACAAAGGAGGGGAGAATTTCTTGCCCAAGTTAATTTTCTCTTTCCCGTCGACTGATTATTTTGGACGCCAATACTTGGTCTCTTTCGCTGATTCTCTGACGGTGTCTTAGGAGTAACTTGGAGTAATTTTGGTGGATGATGACTGGAAGTGAAATCCAAGATGGGTATTTTGTCCCTTTTGAGTCTCGTCAGCTTGATGCAACTGTATTCCTTGTGTGCGATGGTGTTCTCACTGAGACTGAAGTCCAGTACCCAATAGGTTCAATGAGCTGGGAGACAAAACTTTTCTGCTTGAAGCAATAGGCTCAGGGTTCGAGTCTCCTCGAGAACACCATCACTCACTGGGGATTATAAGTGCATCCAGTTGACTAGTGCCAAAGAGGAGGAATAACGAACGCATCATTGATTCCACTAGTATCCATCACATCATCAACTGAAATTTGGGAACAATTCAATAACTTATGTATGCTATTTCACTATATAGCCTACCAGACTCATTCTACGGGCCACTTTTATCATTATTATTATTATATAGTGGGTTGTTAAAATTGCAATACATTACTAAGCAAATACGACATAAGTAACCCATACATTAATAAACTAGAGAGTCTGTGGTCCAGCGGTAGAATATTCGCCAACCACGCACGTGGTCCAGCTTCGATTCTTCTCCAACGCCTTCCTGAATCTCTCCCAGCCTGTATTAAGCCAGGTAAAGAGCGAAGGTGAGGCTATGAGGTTAGCAACCCCACTCGGTAAAAACACACAACCGGTACTAGAACTTCTAAGCTTAAAGCTTGAAGCTACACGTTTCACTTACAATGCAGAAGAATGAAAAAGACAGTAACTATTATGAACTAAGTGAAAGTGGAAGTTTTTTCCCCATCCCACCAAAGAAGAAAGGTATATATAATTAATCTCTGACACCTTAAAATGTAGATGAATTATCAACATCACTGCACATACTACTGATCGATGGATATGAGAGTAGGTGGAAACCAGTCGCATCAACAAGTTGTTCTATCTATCTATCTTACTAGATAAACAGATACATTGTAGTGAGCTAAATCCTGGACAGCCGTTGAGGTAATCAGCAGCTCAGACAGTCGAATAAGTGTAAACCACACGAATTCCGGCTAACTACTTCAGTGAAACACTGAACCAAATTCTTCATTGACAAATTACAAGCTATTCCAAGGGAAAATTCACCATGGTTTCCTATATAAACCAGAAACGTATATGAAATATTTGATATCATAAATATGACTAATTAACTGAATAACTGACTGGGTTTTAACATAGAACTTTGCACAGAAGTACAGGAGTTCAAGTTGCTACACTCCAGATCCCATACAAAGGTAGACAAAACAAAGATAAAAGAGTTTCAGAAGAACTAATGTGACGAAAAATGTTCCGCAAGAGAAAAAATAGTGACATTTTAAAGGCATGACAATTTAATGCATCCAGTAAATAACATCTGCGTTAACTAAGAACAGTTTCAGGCCATACCATTAAAAGTATCAAACCAGTGATTCTTAACATCTTCAGGAATCCAGCTAGGCAGTGTACGCCTCCCTAAGTGGCTGACTAAAGCCAGCTACTAAAGAATTCATGTAAACATGCCAGGTTTCGGCCGGACCCCTCCTAACCCTTAATTCTTTTCCAACCAAATTCTATGTCAACTAACACTGCTCAAAGTGGAAGATGTTGTCTTGGCATGCTCAGCACGTGTCCTATCCTAGATATCTCAATCGATTTAACCTAGCAACCTCAACAACCGACTTCCCCTCTTACTTAACCCATTTAAAGGTTAATAATACTTAACACAGGAGATGAAAAGTGAATATAAGTCATGCGTATCCCATGTGCCATGTGCGTTGATAGCAAAGCAGTAGAATGCTCACCAAACACGCCACACCTGGTCGGCCGGGTTCAATCCCCGGCCACTGACGCACTTCTTTACCTCACCAAGCCAAGCCAGTAATTAGACTGGTATAGAGGTTGGAAGGTTGGACATGAGGCTAACAAACCCATCATGTAAAAATCAATTAACACCACTGCTACAGAAACTTTACGATTCTAGCTTAAAGCCCCATGTTCCACTGGGAACATAAAGGAATAGAGAAAAATAAGAAAACCATCATACTATTTGCCCAACAAAAAGACTTTTTCAGAAATAAACTTAACTCACATATATATATTAGTAATCAGGTGAATTAGATGTGATGGAGTTCAATCAGGAACACGTGTGTGGGTGTGTTTGTGGGTATACATACATAAATATATCCTTATATATCCAATATATGGGATTAATACTCCACTTTCAATTATCCAGTATATGAGTAGATTATTTGGACTTGTAGTAGTTGCATTCTCTTGTGTGATAATTATACTAATTCCACATGTCTTTTAAAAAAATATTATAATATCTTCAAGTATAAATAGGTAAACAAATAAAACTATTGATTGAGGGGAAGACTCAAAATGCACAAATAATCCATATGTATATATATCTTTGCATGTATGTGCAGATGAGACAGTATGTTGCTGGGAGTTACATTCTATTGATGAAGAGGACAACTTTTTATTTATTTATTTATTAAAAAGAAACAAGCATAGCTATACGTGTGTAGATAGAAGATATAAATTAATAAATTTGGTGAACCGTAATACACACATATTTATCGTATCTTGTATCTATCCCACTCTCTCTCCGTCTCACTCACTCACTCACTCACTCGAACCGTCTTTATGAGTCTGAGTGGGGTGGGGGAAGAGGCGAAAAAGACATTTGTTATTCATTGTTTGCTTTGTTACGCAGCATATATACTCACATCATATACAGTAACAAATCAAATTATTTTTTGGTTAGCTTAGATGAAGAGGGGAAAGTTGGCTGGCTGGCTGACTGGCTGGAGGACTGGTTGGTTAGTTAGACCTTGGATGAGGCTTTCTTCATTCAATCTCTTCTGTTGTGTACCACACATACACGCTTACATACATTATACTCTAATATTATGCATCCGATAGTGTTCTCAGAACCACTACTGACAGACATACGTTTACACACATACACAGTGTTGCCCACCTAGGCAGCTGGAAAACTTTTCTATTGAGTGAGTAGTAGTAGTAGCCAATGGTGAGATGCTTAAAACAACCAGTCAGACCGGTCGATCTACTACAGAATATATTATGCTGCTGTCGTCTGTCTATAATAGCAGAGAGAAAAAGAATCATGGAATAAAGATCACCCTCAATAAATACCATCCAACGCACACCTACACATACACACACAAACTATCTGTTGGGTAGAGTAGACATGCATGCACACACATGAGCAAGAGGAAGAAAACTGAATTTTTCATTCAATAGACCAATGATTGAGACACGATACTTCTATTCTGTTTCCTTTTATTATTATTATTATTATTATTACTGAGGAATGGCAAAAACAAATAAGAACACATCCTTTTTCATCCCAGATATATAGTTAGTTAGCGCATTCATTATTCGTTTCCTTTAGCAATAAATAATCAATACGATCATCAATGAAAATAAAGGAACTGTGTCGAGAGATTGAGGGCGAGGGCGAGGGCGAAGGCGAGAGAGACAAAAAGAGTTACGTACAACAAGAAGAGGAGATAAGAAATATATTATTACATCGAATAAAAAAAGACTCTAGAGTCTTCTTTTTATTAGAGAACAAACAAGAAAAACGCTCTTCGTACACAAGTTCTTCTGGTAAGTAGTAGTAGTAGTAGTAGTAATAGCTGTAGTAGGCGAAGTGTTGTCCTACCTAGTAAAAAAAGGAGGGATAAGCGTTTGAGAATTACTGTGTTTGTTTCTTTCTTTTAAATTTTTCAACGAATTTCCTCTTCTTTTTCTTCTCCTCTGTGATGAAGCATCCTATCGATTATCAATTTTTTTGTTCATGAGAACTCATGTTTGCCTTGTTTTTTTGTATTTCTCTCTTATCTCTGTTCATGATAATAATAATCTCCTTGACCTCAGCAGCTAAAACATCATCATCATCCTCATTATTAGGACTTTTTTTGAAGTTTCTCTCCCTCTCTCGGCTTTCTTTAACTACTCCTCAATGGGTGGTTAGTGAATGAATGATGAAAAGCATTTGACGATTATCAAACAGTTTCTTTCCTTTTGTTTGTTTGTTGTTTGTGTGACTTGAGTTTAATTTTAAATTTCTTTCAATGAAAAAAAAATGTATAAATTGTGTTTAACTTGAAAACATATCCTTATTGGGCTATTCACATACACTGTAACAATGTCCAATGTTCTGAGACAAAAATGAATTAATAGAGAAGATTTGTAGCTCAGATGGATGATTTGCAATTAATAGTGTTCTCTGAGCTGGTTGGTTTAGTTGCGAAGCTTTCGTCGTCCCCATGATAGGACAACATCCCCCTTCAGCGCCATATTTAGCACAAAGTGAAATGATTTAAATTTCTTCATGAGTGATAGAATTGCGTCTCCTGGTAACTATCTTTACATATGTATTGACCATTTTCTATTGACTTGGATTTTAAACTTTCTGGTCACCTGATTTACTTTTTATTAGTTGGTATATTTCGTCTATATTAACGTGTTTGTTAATTGCATTTTCGTTTGAGTACCAGGCTTCTAGGAATTCCCTGACTGCACTTTTAGTGTTTCCTCTGTCTAAGATTTTGACATTATCCCAATCAAATTGATGACCGTAATTGTCTATATGCATTGATACTAAAGAATATATATCGTGTCTTTTCACGGCTGATTTGTGTTCTTGGATTCTGATTCGAAGGGGACGCCCACTTTGGCCGATGTAATGCTTGTCGCAGTTCATACAATTTATTTTGTAAATGGTATTAATTTTATCCCTTTTTTCTTTTGGATCTTTTGGTTTGCATAATATCGAATTAAGCGATTTGACTGGCTTGTGTGCTATATCTATATCAAACGGTTTCAGTATTCCAGCTGTTATTTCAGAGATATTTTTCATGTATGGTAGGATGAATTTTCTTGTGGTCTTTGATGATGGTTTCTTGTTGGTGTTTTGATTCGACTTTAAACACTTTTTGATGAAATTTTGTGGATAACCATTCTTTTTGAAGACCGTTTGTAGGTACTTTTCTTCCATTCTTTTCAACTCTGGAGTGCTACAATGTGTTTGAACTCTTTTAAACAATGTCTGCACACAATTTCGTTTGTGAGTAAGTGAATTATTGCTAGTATAGTTGAGTATTTGATCTGTGTGCGTTGATTTTCTATATACTTGTGTCTCTAAATCTTCTGTGTTGGTTCTCCTGATTAAGACATCTAGAGCGTTATGGTCATCAATTTGATTGGGATAATGTCAAAATCTTAGAGAGAGGAAACACCAAAAGTGCAGTCAGGGAATCCCTATAAGCCTGATACTCAAACGAAAATGCAATTTGCAAGTATTGGTTTTGTAGGGATTTGGTTTGATTGCATGGAGGGTTTCATCATGAGCTGACATCAGTTAGAGAACCACTGGAAAACCAGCTGGGAGTACTGGACGGCTGTTTCGTCCTAGTTTGGGACTCTTCAGCAGTACGCGCCCAACGGGATTCGAACCCAGGACCTTCTGGTTACGAGGCGAGCTCGTAGACCATTGAGCCACTGGGACCCGATCCAATGGTCCTTGAATTCTAACTTCTGCCAATTCACGACATAGCGCGACCATTTCGCAATGTCTTCTTCGTGAGTAACTGTCCTCATCTTCGACCTGCTGTACCCTACTGGTCACGGCTTCCCACTAGAACCCCAGGTTAACTGCCTGAATAGGGCCAGTCACTAGTGAGCATCAGATTAATGCAATTAACAAACACGTTAATATAGACGAAATATACCAACTAATCAAGAGTAAATCATGTGACCAGAAAGTTTGAAATCCAAGTCAATAGAAGATGGTCAATACATATGTAAAGAGAGTTACCAGGAGACGCAATTCTATCACCGCTCATGAAGAAATTTAAGTCATTTCACTTTGTGCTAAATATGGCGCTGAAGGGGGATGTTGTCCAGCATGGGGACGACGAAAGCTTCGCAACTAAACCAACCAGCTCAGAGAACACTATTAATTATAAAAATGAATTATTAAGTATTGCTTTTCAAGGATTTGATCGATTACATGTTCAATCATGAGTTGGCATCAGTTTTAGTGAACCACTGGAAACCAACTGGAAGTACTGACAGCTGTTTCGTCCAAGTTTGGTACTTTTTTCGCCGGTACTCACTCAGAACTATTCGGTTACTAGGTTTTAGAACCGCTGGATAAGTTATCTCAGGATTTTAAATGACTTTTGATTAATAGTATGTTAAATGTTCAAGGTTATTAAAGATAATGTCACATATTAAGTGTCAAAACATAAAACAATCCTAACTTTGAATTGAATTCTAAAAGAATTGTGTTACACGGAATTGTTGATAAGATTTTATTTTGATAAATCACACAGTGTTGTTGTTATACAGTAATATTAACTGATGACCACATTTCGAGCACAAACTATTTATTGCTGCTCATAATTATATCAAATCACTACTCACACAACTTTTTGCTTCATTTATATGCATGAGTGAAATTGATTGTATAGCGAAAATATTCATTCAGACATCTATATAAACACAAAATAATTGAGCGAAGAATATTCTTTTCGATAATTTCCTCTTCTGGCTCTACAATTATATATACAACTTTATATACATAGAATATTCTAGATTAGTAGTCAATAACAACATTAGTGTTTTGTAAAGTAAGATCAATGGAATTACAGTTCATTAAATATGCTTAAATTATAATAATAACATAGATATATAACAAATAGAATATCAACTAAAATTAGGAAAATTTCACAAAAATTCAGGATCATTCAAACCGAGATGGCCAAGGTAAGGATAATGTCTGAACTAGCTTCTTTTGGACGCGTAAATAAGCCTTTTTAATATGGATCCCAACAGCCTCAGAAATATTTAGTGAACGAACTCTAAAGGCAAAATTAAGATTTGTTGGTATGCGGTAAATGACTTTGAAAGCCGCCTTGTTAACATCAATCTTGTGTTCTGTATCCACAAGATGAGATAGAATAGCGCTGCGAATAGATTTGATTGGTAATAATATCTTCCTTGTTTCCGGTATGAGTGATGAGTCATTCCTATTGCACGTGTTGGGTGTAGACTCGATGAACAAGGATTCAGTAATCAATCTCTTTCTCCACCTACCTATATTACTTTTTAGAATTTTAACCCTCTCCCACCATGCTATTGTGTGGTTGTGTGTTAATGCATGCAGTGCGATTGCTGAGATCTTTTCTAAATTTCTTGTCATCGTGGGATCAATCATTCTAACCTTAGCTAAATTCTTATGTTCCGATAATCTCACTACTCCTGATCTACTAGTTTGACTTATATAGTTGACCTAACTCACAGTCATTGCAAGGTATTTTGTAAATTACATTATTTTGTCTAATTGGGTCCACCGGGTCCTTTAACCTACACAGACTTGTCTCTGAGTG